TACAGAGACGACGGTCTCATAATCTTAAGAAAATGCAACAGACAATACACAGATAGAATTAGAAAAGCAATAATAAAGATTTTCCAAAATAACGGATTCGGCATAGATATAAAAACTAACCTAAACGAAGTAGATTTTCTAGATGTTACCGTCAACCTAAGAAAGGGCACATATAAACCATACAGAAAACCCAATGATAAACCACTCTATATACACACATCTTCCAATCACCTGCCTTCTATAATAAAATGAATCCATATTGAACAAAACTAAGAAAGACTACGAAACAGCCCTAAAAGATAGTGGATTCCCAGCAACACTCACATACTCAGCGGAACACTTGGAAGGTGTTTATATCACTCAACAGAGACTCAGTTCTAAGTGGAATGTCAGGCGAGGATAATTCAGAGGAGTAAAAATAGAGTTTGAAGATAATTTACGAGCGAAACATCCTGCTTTGTCAGTAGATGTTAACACTTCAAACTAAATGAAGAAAGGAGATGTAGAAAACTTACTCTTATTTAACAGACTATTACAGAGCCGTCAGTAGTCACGAAAATACATTATTCTATCAATAAACAAAGACTTAGCTCCTTCGAGGACACGTTTGCAATCATTACATGCAGCCACAAATAGGCGGCTGTTGTGATCGGAACTATCACGCTCGTTTAACGGGGAAATGTGATTCTAGCCGCACTGATGAGCTGTGATACAGCGAAACAGTCTATCTTTGGATGACTATATATATATATATATATATATATATATATATATATATGTGTGTGTGTGTGTGTGTGTGTGTGTGTGTGTGTGTGTGTGTGTGTGTGTGTATGTGTGTGTGTGATTTTGTTCAAAATTTGCTATAATTATGTAAATAAATATTTTTTTATAATTCGACATATTTAGGAACTGCTACAGAAGGCGATAAAGGAAAGGAAGAATAAAGAACTAGGCATTAATTGTAAGACAATATATGGTTGTCAACAAAAAGAAAAGCCCAACATGCAAATTACAAATTGAAGATTTCAAAATCATGCAAGTACAAAATTTAAATATCTAGAAAGTACTTTAAGAGATGACAGAAAATGCGTCACCGAAATCCGAAGCCTCATTTGGGATAGCGAAAGATGCCTTCCCAAAGTTAAGCTAAGTAAACAGGAAAATTTCGATAGAAACAAAGAAAAAGAGTACCGAACTGTTATATAATATCAGTCCTCCTATATGCCAGTGAATGCTGGACAGATTCTAGAAACAAACTTGAGGCAAGAGAAATGTGGTTCTATAGAAGGATGCTGATAATATACTATGAACTGAACCTGTGAGCAAAAGCGAAGTTTTATAGAAAATGGAACCGAAAAGAACACATACTTAAAGAAAGAGAAAATTGAAATTGCTTAGGCACGTGATGAGAAAAAAGGACTTAGAAATTTTGACCCTCGCAGGAAATATTGAAAACAAAAGAGATAGGTGAAAATTAATGAAACTACCTAATGAACTTGCTTGTGCTAACGGTTGGAAGAACAAGTATTAGAAGATATAGCAAAAAGACAAGCTGTATTAAAAGCTACGAAGAACTTATGGAGAGCCATGATCACCCACGAAGAGACATGTCACCTAGAAGAAGAAGAAGAAGAAGAAGAAGAAGAAGAAGAAGAAGAAGAAGAATTAATAGGTTGCTATCTTATATAAATATATTTTTGGGAGAAGAAAGCTAAATTTAAAGGATATAGCGCTTGTGGATTTAAACAGAGTGAACAGAGAAATCAACACTACATGGTAACTGGCAATTCCACGCCTTAAGCGATCATCAAACCCCATGTATAAAACTCTTAGATATCCTCCTCAATCAAAGTATAAAATTTCCAAATTAAAATACAACTTAAATGCTAAGACATTGCTTATCATACAGTTGTAAGATATATTCGTATTCATTCTTATTACAATAAAACTTCTTCGATAAACACGAAATTTGGCGCAAAGTGTCAACGAGCGTTGGATTATGTAGAAAAGCTCTCTATAGTTATTTCTTTTGTTCCCATTGTGATCATCTGAACATTTGCGATAGGAGAACCTGTTAACTTTTCACTTAACGGCCACTTGCATGGTATCAAGGAGTGTGCAGGCATCCCTGTATACATGATTGTGTATGAATGTCTCTTTCTACTGATACGCTTATGTGTCACGGTGAATAGACATATCCGTGTACATTCATATCTCGGCCTTCTCTACTTGTGTTTGTCCAGCTTGTTTCGCGTTGATGTTTCCAGATAGTAAGCTTAGGTTAGATGTAGTCAAGGAAATAGGGAAGGAGAGACCAATCCTCCGAGGAAAAAGATCCTGCTAAGTTTGAAACCCAGCAATCGTACGCCTGGCATTTATCTTGGGTTGGACACCGAAAAGTAATTTTGATAATAAAGTTGCACACGCTGAAACCACCAAACCATATTTTATAGCTATGTACGGAGTCCATGATGATATTCATTTACTATCCACCCTCTATCTATCTATCTATCTATCTATCTATCTATCTATCTATCTATCTATCTATCTATCTGTGTGTGTGTGTGTGTGTATGTATGTATAAATGTACGTATGTATGCATCATTAAATTAGATATGCTTATCGAAGGTCAACTCATCGATAATATGGACAAGAATGATTGCAGAAAGTCAGGAAATAGAGGAGGAATTTGTCGTAATTGTCTCGGTGTGAGGGTCTTTATCGGTGATATCAGCTATCAGTATTCAGTTTCCGTATCGCTCCTAAAGTTTAAAGGGATGGGTTTTGAAAACAATTTATCAGACAAGAAAATGAAACTTATAATAAAAATTGAAAAACGTTTTAGTCTGAAACGTGGAAATTATGCTATCTATCTATCTATCTATCTATCTATCTATCTATCTATCTATCTATCTGCGTTATGAAAAATAATAGACATTTTATGTCTGGTAAATTTATTAATATTTTTCTAATGTACGAATAAGGTTTCGCAAATGTGGCTATTTTATAAATTAAAAAAAAATATTGACAGTTGCGAAACGTTATTCGCACAATTTATACAAAGAATTACATATCAACTAACATTGTATTTTTGTAAAAATTTTTCTTTTTGATATTATATATATATATATATATATATATATATATATATATATATATATATATATATATATATATATATATATATATATATATATATATATATACATATATTATTACTGCTATTGGAATCCTTGTTTCATAAGACAATGGAGTCTAAGTCTAATTAATCTGTGGGTGGGATTCAGGAGTCTGATACCATCAAGAAATCACCTTCCTCATAGACGGAAAGTAAAGTTGTAGCCGCTCGGTTATATATATATATATAACTTTTATTTTGCTTAAATTTATTAATTAATATTTTTTAAATATAATTTATTTTGAAAAATCTTTCATCTATAATGTTCTGACAATGATCGAAACATTAAAAACCCAGTCACAAAAATACAGTTTACTGATTTTCTCCTAACATGATAATATGCTTTTCTATAACGGGGCACCATGCTAATCTTGTTTGCTATACTCGTGACACTTTGGTCTTGTATCCTCGACCCTTTTCGGGTGTTTATCTTCTTATTTGGTAACATTCTTGGAGTTTCGAACTGAACCCGTTATGCAATCCACGTTGTAGATTATTCTCATCCATGCTTAAGAAACATTTCATATCATTTAGTATTCCCTAAATTATCGGTATATCTCTGTCTGTAATATTTCAAGGAAACTGGAAGACATTGAGCTAATGATAGTTTTGATGCACCATTTTATATGAATTTTAAATTTAAATCTACACCGATAATCTCCAGTCATCTTTTGAGAAAATGCAGATATGATGAACTATAAAGAAAGCGATTTAGACCACATTACAGTTGTTGTTGGCTAAAATTTTGTGGAGATTGTGAAGAGTGGAGAAACATTTTGTCACTTGCTTCCCAAATGATATCTAATGCGGTAATGCAAAAGAAATGTCTGTCAATTAGAAGCTCTGAGTACAGAAAAGAACGACAAATAAACTACCAATATGTATAAAATATACTAAGAAATTTGAATTTATGAAATATGAGATGAACATCTGCGTCTAATAACAGGTAGCCAGAAAAGTGTTTAGAAGTAAGTCAAGAGTAAATTAGAACAATCAGGAATCTAAAATTGAAACAATGTAAGGAAAATTGCTAAAAATCTAGTCGATATTAAGGAAGTTGTGGAAGTGCTAAGGGAACTTGGTGACACTTGGTCTTTTAAATAGAAGTTTCTGTCAATTCAAAAAAAAATTCTAAGAGCCAAAATTCATTATAGAACTAAGCAATAAAATGTTAATTCTGACCATGACTAAATGGCTAGCATTGGCATTTGACTGTCATTTTATTTTGCAGCCAGAACGTTAGCCATAAAATTCAAACAATGGTAGATATTGAAATATCAGCAATGACTTTATAATAATAATAATAATAATAATAATAATAAATAATAATAATAAAACTAACTAAATAATAATAATAATAATGTTGGGTTTCTAACATTTGTTTTCACTGTGACTAAATTTATCGCCAAAGTCGTAGAGTTGAAATAGAAAATTTAAGTGAAATTAGTAGTAGTAGTAGTATTAATAATAACAATGGTGAGGAATAGGAATTGTAGTCCATAATAGTAGTTGTTGTTGTCGCCGTAGTGGCCAGTACTGAAGTGCCCGTTGTAACACTTATGGATTGTTTTCTCAACATACTCCATCCGGAACCTTTAACTCTACAAAAATAATTTTTTTCACCATAAGTACAATGGCTACCGTCGCTCGTTATTTGGTATAAAAAGAAAAAGAAAAAAAAATAGACTTCAATGAAAAACAATTTAGTTTCTTGGATAAATAGGAAAGGTACAAGGCCAAATTGCAATCAACCTGAAAGATTATAATTATCTATATAAATTAACTCTTTCTTACTGGTTTTTTTCTTATCTACATGAGTAAAATGGTAAGTATTATTCTGATTTTAATTTCGTTTTTTTTTCTTCGGTGTTGTTTGTGCTTTCATATTGTTAACGGTATTCGTAATAATAACTTTAATCAAATAATCGCACTGATATCGTCCATTTTTTTTTCATGAGTTAATAGAAATATCTTTATTCCGTTCATATAAAGCAAAGCTTGAACTATACGGCCAACACTGCATTATTCTCATTCGAAAATATCTGGAATATATATATATATATATTATTAAATAAGGTACTAGTAGAAAAAAATTAGAAGTTTAACATGAAACGTTATTCATTTTCATCAGAAATGTTGGAAACCCACCGAAATTTATAGTGAAGCTAAATAAATAGCGAAATATACTGGATTAATAAAGATTTTCCTACTTATTCCTTATTTAGTCATTCTGTTCTGTCAGATTTAAGACATATTTTAAACCAATATATATATATATATATATATAATTTTTAAAACAGGGAACATTTTATTAATCAAAAAAGTTGAATACTAAAGCATCATCTCGATTAAAATAGAAATCTAAGGTATCTTTCGTCCGACGCTTTGTCAGAAGAAAAATCGTCGTGAAGGTACTTTAAGTTTCTCTTTTTAATCTAGACGATACCTTTGTATCGTACTTTTTGATTAATAAACTTCTCCCTTTTTTAACAGAAACTTTTTACCAAAGAATTTAAATATGGTTGGAAAATGACGGAATGCATTCTTTAAAACGGACCATATTCGTCCCGCACTACTTCAGAAAGATTCATTGGAACGAAGTGCCGTTTCAGCATATCTCTCTCTCTCTCTATATATATATATATATATATATATATATATATATATATATATATATATATATATATATATATATATATATATATATATATATATATGTATACATATATAAGTCTCTCTCTCTCTCTATATATATATATATATATATATGTATATATATATATATATATATATATATATATATATATATATATATATATATATATATATATATATATATATATATATATATATATATATATATATATATATATATATATATTAAATTACTACCTGGATATATTATTTAAACTACATGAATTATTATTGAACACAAAACTTAATGCTGAAAAAATTTTGGCAACACATATTGAGCAGGAATTAATATTAGACGAAAAAATTAAACAAATTCGAGAATTTCTGACCAACGATAAATCTAGCAATAGCTGAAATGACTACATGAAAAAGAAATGAAACATTATTTTTAAAAAATAAAAATAGAGATTATATATATATATATATATATATATATATATATATATATATATATATATATATATTTGTTTAATTTATATATATATATATATATATATATATATATATATATATATGTGTGTGTGTGTGCGTGTGTGTGTCTGTATATGCATATGTATATGTATGTATACATGTGTGCATGTCAGAATTTTTTCAAATTTCAGTTTTATTTTAAACAAAGCGTCTTTCTAATACGCATTATTTACGTGTTTTTAAAAATGACGTTTGTGGAAACGTTTGCATACGCCTATTTCACACAAACATACACGCGTATACACACACACGCACACACACACACATATATATATATATATATATATATATATATATATATATATATATATATATATATATATATATATATATATAAAATATCAATTATCTTTATTTGAAAAAGCATAACAAGTGAAATGGTCTGATGAACGCTGACAGTCAGTATGCAGTGTTTATTTCTCTGACCACAGTTTATTTCGATAATCTCTTCATCTCAGCACCATTCCCACAGAAATACACACACACACACACACATATATATATATATATATATATATATGAAGAATGTAGAAACATACACAACATACACACACACACACACACACACACATATATATATATATATATATATATATATATATATATATATAAAAATCGGGTGGCTAATGAAAAATACGCGACCTTGGTTTCGACCTGACGCTGTCTACGGGCGATATTTTTAAAAATGACCAAAACATTTCTACATGTTATTTTTACTTTTTATTTTTATTTTTTCACACGTGTATTTAGCCCTTTTAATACTACCGTTGATTCAACTCTGACCATTAACCTTACATATATATATATATATATATATATATATATATATATATATATATATATATATATATATATATATATATATTCACTAAACAGTGTAACTCTCAAAGTAAAATATCTTATTACGTTGTCCTATTATGTCACAAGTAGATAAGTAGATGTTGGTTGAAAGGCACTAGAGGTTGATCCTTCCCGATAGTATCTTGTTACGAATAACATTCTAGTAAAATAACATCTGACATGAAAGTACGTATGAAGCAAAGGTCTATTGCTCCATATGCAAAATTTAGGAGCCATTGGTATTCATCACTGCTCGCAGACAAAATAATGCATTTTGGCAAAAAGTATCTGTAATGTGTGCAACAAATAAATTAATGATGAATGAATAACTACGTGGGTAACATTTCCTTGTATGAAAAAATGAAAAATGTTTCAATCCAGTAATGTTTTTGCATTCTCTGTATCTCTTATATGTAAATAAATATTAATATATACAGTATAGATCAAATGTTTAGGGACACTAGCTGGATTAAATAATTAGTAAGTTCCATAAATTATTCGGATTAACTCACACTAAGCTAGGATATTAAAACTATTTAATTCACTAGCGAATAATGTCCATTTCTCTAGAAAGGAGATTACCTAAAATTTTAAATCCAGAAGCCCCAAGATTACCATTAGTCAGCAAGATAGATTAAGCACAACATGCTAAAATTGTGATGAAACTTTATACCGTAATTGATTAATTTCGTTATCATTATTATTATTATTATGATTATGATTATTATTATTATTTGATTTCTGCTTTAGTCACACTACCGACGAAGTCTTCGGGAAGTCCTAAAGCAGGTAGTGGTGTTGTTATGGCTATATTTCATGATTTGTTTTTCTAACTCACATAACATCACAAGCGGTACATGGACAAAGTTCTCAGTGTGTGGACCGTACTTATCAAGACAATTTTTTGTATTTCTCTTAAACTGGGATTTTTCAGTGTGTTTCTGTATTCCTTTTTTTTTTCTAATTCCAAGTGCATCTACTATGACTGGTACTATTCTTGTTTTTTATTTCCACATTTTTTCTATTTCGATTTCCAGGTCTTTATACTTGGATAGTTTTTCAAATTTCTTGGTTGCTTTATTACAGTCCCTTGGGAAAGCCATATCAATTAGTAGGCAAGTTTTTCTTTTCGGTTTTTGATAATTATGTCCGGTTTATTTGCTTCAGTCATCCTGTCTGTAAAGATGGTGTAATCCCATATAATTGTGATGTCTTCTGTTTCTGTAACCTGTGCTGTGTGATGTTCATACCAGTGTTTGTTAACATCTTTTCCAAAATGTCTGCACATTGACCAGTGTAAATATTGCCCCATTCTGTCATGGCGATATTTATATTCATTTGGCGCAAGTACAGATCATCTTGAGATTAGATGGTCTATGGTTTCCTGACATTTGTCACAGAACCTGCATTTTGGATCCATTATTATGTATCATATTTCCTGAAAGTTCCCAGCGAAAAGTCTCTAATCTTATTTCGCAAGAATAAAGCCTTTCATTTCAGCCTGTCATCCAGATGCTGGTAACCATCGATAAGTGTTAACTTTATCAACATCGGTTTAATTCGCATGTTCTGGATATTGGCCATGCAAAGGTTTGTTTTGGCAGCGTTGTTCCATCTGTTCAAGAACTTTATACTTATCATATTTTTTTTCTGCAACAGTTGGCTCTTGGGTTCTGTCTGGGAATAGAATATACTAAATGTAAATCTCGTTTGCATTTTCAACCTTCTTTCATCACTGAATATTTTTTTTTATTTCTGTTTTGGTGTTGTTTGACTATTTGTATCATCCAGTCCTTTGTTGTTTCCATGTACGATAGTAAGCCAATAGTTGTTGACTTGTATGACAGTTTTATCTGAATAAGATCTATTCCACCTTCTTTTCGTGATATGTATAGACGGTCTGCATCAGCTTTTGGGTGATGCATGTTATGCTTAGAAAGAAGCTTTCTTGTCTTAGAATAAATTCAACAGATGTCATTTAGAGTCCGGTTCAAGATGTTAAATCTATATTGAACCACTGGAATGGAAAGTCGATTAAAGAACGTAATTCTGTTAATTATTATTATTATTATTATTATTATTATTATTATTATTTTCTTTGATTTCTGGCGTTTACGCATTTCTATTACATAGATAAAGCCCTTCGTAAAGTGTGCGCTGTACTTGTCAGAACAATTTTTTTGTATCTCCTTGAGGCATGGACTTCCAGGAATCCCTTCAATTAGTCTACTGCAATTTTTTCCAACCAGTCTTAGGGCTCCAATTATTATTATTATTATTATTATTATTATTATTGTTATTGTTGGTGGTGTTGTTATTGTTGTTGTTATTGCTATTAAAAACCCACCAGAAAGGGAAAGTGAGCTAGTAATTTCGTTTTGAAAAAAGGCGCACAACCTTCAATTATTAGGCGATTCTTTGAACTCCAAAGATATCTCCAAACTTTTGGCATCTATCTATCTATCTATCTATCTATCTATCTATCTATCTATCTAGTATATTATAATAATACTAACATAGTAATATTAAAATGCTAATAAAAATCTGCTACTCAGAGTTTCATGCTGTAAGACAAAAGACAGATAAAGGCAAATAAAAGTTTCAGCATAAAACTGCATAGCGGATTTTGATTACCGTTTTTATATTATTGCGTTAATATTATTATAATATACTGTACTTAAGCTCTGCTGACATTGGACTTAAGCCCTCAGTTTGTAATACGTTTTAAGCTTTTATTTTATTTTAGTATTAAGTTTTGTACATCTATCTATCTATTAATTACTGACAGAATTATTCTTTTTATATATATGTATATATATA